CCCGGCCCCCGGCACCTCCCCGGACCTCTCTTGCCCGGGCTGTTCGGCAAAGCACGCAAGGCCCGGGGAGGCCCGGTCGTGGGCCTGGGTGCGGCTGCCGGGGGCTGGCCCAGCTCCCCACCCGCTGCTCCGTGAGCCACAGCGTCTCACAGTCCAGAGCCGGGCTGCCCGCGGGCGCCGTGAACACGAGCGTGCAGAGGAAGAGTGAAGAGCCAACACTGTGCGGCAGTTTTCCGAAAGGGTCACAAAGCCTTTGCCCTCCTCTCTCCCAAAAGGGCTGGGGACGCCTTCGCCTCCCTGAGGGCTGACGTCTGGGTGACCTGCTCCCGCCTCTGCGGAGAGGCAGCGCCTGGCCTGAGCTCAGAGCCTAACGCCCCGGGGTTCCTCACCCTCGGCTGCGGGCGCTGGCTCTGCCGGCCGAAGGCCAGCGGTGAGCAGACGCGGCAGGCTCAGGAGACGTCGGGGGTGGGGCCTGCGGCCTCACCACAGCCGCGCCGGCTGGAGCCCTGCACACCCGCTGAGCCCTTAGCTGACCGCAACCTGGCCTGACGCCCCGGAGCTCAGGGGCCTGACACCCACCCGCCGCGAAGCCCCGCTCGGGACTGCCGGGCAGAGCGCGTGCAGGGCGAGAGATGCCCACTGCTCCCGGCCACGTGCAGGGCCTCAGGGCAGCTAACGCTCAGGGAGGGCTCGCTGCGCTACCGCTTCACGCGACCCTCCTGGGCTGGGCCGTCCTCCGAGTTGACCAGATTTTTCAAAAAAAGAAAAATAAGTCGAGCATCAAAATAAATAAGGATGGGGCCCTCCCCGGGGGCGCAACGGGTCAGAGCGCAGCACTGAGGAGCTAGAGCCGCTTCGGCACGAGTTCGATCCCCGCCCGCCCCGGAGGGGACCCCCAGGGTGCGGCAGACCTCTCCTGACCCCCCGCTGCTGCCCTCGGCAGTGGACTTTGTCCATCTGCCTGATCCACTCCCACCCTGCCTCTGGTGAAGCCTCTCACACACACCCCAGCCCCGCACCTCTGGCCTGCACCCCAGTTCTGTGTGCATAAATACATCTTTAGAAGATTATAACCCACTGGTGAGCCAGAAGGCGGCGAGTCTGTGCTGGCGGAGAGGAAGGAGAGGACGAAGG